ACAGTCAACTTGACATCGCTGAAGGGACTGCAGCACCGACCAAATTTCGACGGAATCAAAGGATTTCTCATAGTCCACATACGCCAGACATAGTGGCAAATTGTACTCCTCTGACTTCTGTACAATTTGCCGAAGGGTATGTATGTGGTCTATAGTGCTAAAGCCTTTTCAGAAACCGGCTTGTTCGGGAGGCTGGAAGTCGTCAAGTCTGCGCGCGAGACGATTCGTAATGACTCTTGAAAACAGCACGTAGACGCGGCTCAGAAGGGAAATCGGTCTGTAGTTCTTCAAGGAGCGTTGTCGCCTTTCTTGAAGAACAAGACCACCGTACTTCTGCTCCACGCCTCCGGTGTAATGCCACCACAGAGGACGGAAACAAAGAGCTTCTGAAGGACTTCAAGTACCGGTTTTCCACCCGCTTTCAGAAGCTCCGCTGTAATTCCATCCTCGACTGGGGCCTTACCGTTTTTAAGGTGCTGGAGAGCCATTGTAATCTCGCTCAGACTGACGTCCGGGATATCATCGGAAAAGTGTCGGATAAGACTCGCTCTTGGATCGTTACTCACACTTGCGTGTGACTCCAACGATGATGTGTACATCTGCCCATAGAACCCCTCAATCTCACTCAAAATCTCAGGTGTCCCGGAAATGACGCTGCCACACTCGGTCTTCAGCTTTGACAGTTGGCTCTTCCTGGCAAACAGATCTCTAGCAAAGAATTTGAAGCCCTGGTTCTGCTCGATCGCTTCTTCAATACGAGCAGTATTAAAATTGCGTAAGTCCCGCCGCATACACTTGGAGATCTGTCTGTTCAGTTGCCTGTATGTTGTCAAATCTACTGAAGACTGCAGCTTCATATCCCGTCTAACAGCCTTGAGATTAAGAGTGTGATCGAAGAGTTTTTGTGTTTTTCTGCGGCGGGTCTTGCAAAACTTAGCTCCGACCGCATGGACAGTTTCCACGAGCTTATCATTCATATCGTTCACTGCATTGCAATCTTCTAAGCACTGAAAACGGTTTCGTAGCTCGAGCTGAAAGGTTTCGGGACTTTGGATTAGAGCACGAGGGGGACGGAGCGTTGACTTCATTAGACGTGTTAAGTCACAACTTAACGTTTAGGTTTAGTGTGCCTCTCACCATTCGGTGATTGCTGCCGGTTTTAAACCTCGCGATCACTGAGAAATCACTGAACAGTTGTCTTCTGGTCGTCATAATGAAGTCAATCTCATTTTTTGTCGAACCTTCGGGGCTCGACCAGGTCCATTTCCTGTGGGGCCGCTTCTGGAAGAAAGAGCTCATCATAAACAGTCCCTCTTTCTTCTGAAGTCGGCCAGCTGCTGGCTCCTTGGGTTCCGTTGCCCTATTCCAAATTTCCCTACTTTCAGCTCACCGTTCTCTCTTGTGCCTAGTTTTGCGTTGAATTCTCCCATTAACACCGTATAGTGGGTTTTGGAGGAATGCATGGCTCTAGAGATATCCTCATACATTTCCTCCACCTCCTCATCGAGGTGTGCCGACGTTGGTGTGTAAACCTATATGACCTTCAGCGAATACCGTTTGGTGATTCTGAGTATAAGGTACGCAACCCTCGTCGACACACTCCCAATCTTTACAACGTTGTTAACGAGAGACTTGTGGACGATAAATCCGACACGTCCTTGGGACAGATGGTCGCCCTCCCGGTGATAGAACAAGTTGCCGGATTTGAGGATTACCGTGTCCTCCACCTCTCTTCGGACCTCGAATAATCCTATGATATTCCAGCGCAACTTATCTATCTCTTCTTCCAGCTCCAGGATCTTCTCGTCAGTCCTCAGGGTGCGTACGTTATAAGTTGCCAGGTCGAGTCGTCGTAGGTGGCAACCGAACCTCCACCGGAGATTCTTAGCACCCTCTGCCCCCCCCCCCCCATACCTTGGTCGCCACCGTAGCCAGGAATAGCGGGGCCGCCGGGGAGTGGGTGCCGTCTCTTCGTTACTCTCATGGGGGTTATATTGCCATGCCACGCTTGGCGAGCGGGTTGGCAACCGCAGTTTTTTATTGTTGTTTGGTTTTATCAGAAAGATGCTGCTGCCCATGCTCTGCCTCAGTTTCCTTCTGTCGCCTCTTACGACACCCACGGGAAGATATGCGGTAGTGAGTATTCTTTCCCGCCACTATACATCAAATTTATCCATAAATATTAAACTGTATGAATATTTTATTAGAAAGGGAAAGCCAAAAACATTTAAAATTTTGATTACATTACCTTTAAGAGACTTCAAGCAACATAATTTTCAATTACCTGAAAAAAAAATATAAATTTGTAAATACCAAATAGTCATTTTAAACGTAAAAAATATCAATAAAATTCAGTCAGTCAGTATTACACACTATAGAAACCAGCTGATTGCGGAGGGTAGAAAAAACCAGTATAGTATTATTACATGCTAGAGATATTCCTTCAAAGGAAACGCACGACGCACTCGTAATCTTATTAAATGGGAGGTGGTTTCAAATATCCATTTACTGCTGTGGCTTACCATCTAAGTGGGCTGTAAGCTCGTTTTTCACTCTAATATAATTAAAATTTATATTAGCACCGAGGATGTATTCCGAATACAAGCAGAAAAGTGTGCTTTACTCTTATATTATTCTTTTCTCACGGCCCTGAGTTGATTTTGACCAGTCACCAAAATTGAAATAAAATGCTTAAGTTTTTTAAGTGCATTTAAAATTGCAAAATATTAAGTAATTCAATCGTGAATTTAGTATATCGCGTGGACAGTCGGACAGACGGTTAGACAGTCTCTACCTATTTTTCGGATGACCGCGAATTCGAAACCAAGTAGGTAGGTAAGTAGCACTTTAATCTGTATTATTATGCATTCTCTTTTCGCAATAAGAACGCCAACAAAACAAACCAATTAAAAAAATGGTATTCAAAATATTCGAAAATATTTTTAGGGTATAAAAGTGAATTGAATCTATTGTTTATATTCAACCATATTTAATGTAATGAGTATTTAATGTAAATCTTTTTTTGTGGGTAGGAGTGAAATAAGTAACACACGTTTTGATCTGTCTCGTGCAATTTATATTTTAAAAATAGAAATTAGAATATTTTAATGTGTTACACATATATGTAATAATCATCTGCTTACCAGCCTTAATTCCTTGATATATATTATCTTTAACTTGTTGTTTTTTAAAACTGCACTAAACTATGGAAGCCCTCAAAGGATCCCTGTCAGCCATGTCAGAACTCTTCAATACTCGTATGAATGAGTTTCAGCAGGACTTACAAAAGACTAGTCCAACTATGGCCCCAAATACATCAGTACTTTCAACGGAGTTTGCAACATTCAGAAATTTCATCTTGTCCGCTCTTGAAACTGTTCAAAGACAGGTTGAATTTCTTGGGAGAGAGATCGACCGCTTGGAGATGAGACGGCGGCGTAAGATTCTGCTGCTTCATGGTATTCCCGAGGACAAGTCCGAGGATACATCTTCAATGGCTGCTAATCTTATAATGGACAAGCTCAAGATATCCAATGTGTCCAACACTTCTTTTATCAGCTGCCATCGCCTTGGACGTCCAAAAGAAAAGAAGCCAAGACCAGTTCTTGTAAAGTTCCGGGATGTCCCAGTTCGTGATCAAGTTTGGTTCTTAAAAACAAAACTGAAAGGCACGGGTGTCACTATGTCTGAATTCTTAACAAAAGATCGTCACAAGGTGTTCATGGTGGCCAGGCAGAAATTTGGCATAAGTAACTGCTGGACTAGGGATGGTTATATTCATATTATCGCTTGTGACGGCTCGCGCCATCAAGTTGAATCACTGGCTGAGCTCGAAGTCATCCCAGTAGCACCAGCTGATGTTTCCCAAGCACAGACGGCAGTCGCTGGAAGAAGTAGATCTCCTGACAAGGTAGTTCAACGCTCCAAGAGGGCAGTGAAGAAGTGATGATGATTTGGTCTATAAACTTTAGTTCTCTTTAATAAACCGTATGTATATCACATTATGCTTTCCATCTATATTTTAGTGTCTCTGCATTGTACTTTTGCTAACCTGATTTCTTTTCCTTTCGTATCTGTTTATCACTCTAATCTTAAGTGTTAAATAAGATTTAAGAGTTAATTAGTAAATTAGTCGGTACAATGTATCTCCATTATATAAAAGTACTATTTGATATCTATCTACGCCACTTTGAACTTCGACTTTGTGTTTTTGTTTTGATTTTATTGTTTTAAGTTAGATGCTAATCTATGTTAATAATAATATTATATTATATTATTTACCTATATATAGGTAGGTAATAAATAACAATGTTTTGATCATAGATTATAAACATTCAATTGAGAGTTTTTATCACAGATTATAAAACTTCGATTTAACACATTGAGCAAAGAGTATATAATCGCTATGTTTTTTGCCTTAGAGTAATATCTTCTCGATTCAGAGTATAATATAGTCTTTGGTACTATCATGGTAAATCTACCACAGACTTAGAATATTACGCCAGTGTATTCTAAGTCTATAAATGTGATCTCTCTTGGGAGTCTTAAGTGTTTTTGTAAATGAATCCATGCTCGGGATGCCCTGTCGGACGTGTATTTTGTTTCCAATACTAAGAGCATAACAGTAGTTTTGACTTTAAGTTTTTATGTTTTAATATATATATACTCGCAAACGTGTGTGTTCTAATATTTTAACCACAGAACGTAATTCTATTTGATGTGTGTATCGGTAATTTAAGTTTTTTTTTTTATCATTGAGTAACATGTGTTATATGTATATTTCTTTCTATATTCAATCAATTATGATGTGAATCATCTATGTGTAGTATTAATTTTTTTATTTTAAATATTTGCACTATTTTCTATTCTGTTAGTGCTGGTAGGTAATAGATGTAATCAAAAGTAAATCTTTGTAGTTTATAATTTTTATTTGTTTGTAGTTATTAGTATACCTTTTTTAGTTTGTAGTTATTGTTTTTTTTCTTTTTGTAATAGATAACATGTCTTTTGATGAAAGTGATCATAATCAAAGCTCCTCTTCTTTCATTTCAGCATCCGATGTACTAAGTAATGACGACAGTTTTGAGAGCATTCCTCCATTAAAAGATACTCTTGACTCCCATTTTTTTAAAGCTCTAAGAAACTTCAATATAGTTCACATAAATGCACAGAGTATTCCGGCTCATTATCCTGATATGTTAGCTAGCTTTGTAAGTGATAATGTTCATGCAATTCTTGTTTCGGAGTCATGGTTAAAGCCATGTCTTCCATCCATATCCTATTCCATTCCAGGATTCCAGTTAATACGCAACGACCGAACTGCACGGGGTGGTGGTGGTGTTGCCATTTACCTTCGTGCGCATATACCTATTTCCATTGTTCGTTTATCATCTCAATTTCCAGCTGAGAACGAAGCGGAATACTTATTTATTGAAGTGCTTCTTTCGCACAACAAATTACTTATCGGAGTTTTTTATAGTCCTTCTTCCACAGTTGACTATTTTACCACATTGGATAACCTTCTTGAAGAGCTAACTCCATTATATAAACATACAGTGCTAATGGGCGATTTTAATACTTGCCTTCTTAAGAATGACGCCCGATCTCTTCGTCTTAAGTCCCTTATAGAAGCAGCCAATTTAAATATCCTTCCTCTTTCTGAAACTCATTTTTTTCCTAACTGTGTTCCATCCCTCCTTGATTTGGTTATCGTTTCTTCTCTCGACCATGTTGATAAATTTGGTCAATGTGCTGCCAACGCCTTTTCCTATCATGACCTCCTGTTTCTATCTTATAAAATAAGACCACCGAAAGCCAAATCAAGGATACTTCTGCAGCGTAATTTTGAGGAAATGGATTTGGAAAAGCTACAAAAAGATGCTGCTAACATGGACTGGAGTGTTATAACTAAGGCTTGCTCAGTGGACGAACAGGTAGCATTGTTTAATTCATTTCTTGTTCAGCTCTATGATATACATGCTCCTGTCCGCCCAGTGCGAATACGCCATCCTCCAGCCCCATGGTTGACTGAAGATCTTAAAAGATTGATAGTTAGGAAGAATAACGCAAAGTCGAGTTACAGGTCAGATCCAAAGAATGACAGGATTCGGGAAAAGTACAGACTCCTGCGGAATCAATGCAACAAGTTGTGTAGAGATTTACGACGCCGCCATATCCATAAATCAGTACAAAACGAAGATCCATGTCGTGTTTGGAACTTTTTAAGGTCCATAGGAGTTGAGAAAACACGTTCATGCCCTATATCAAATAACGTCGATTTAAATTTGCTTAATAAGCATTTTTCTTCTGTTTCTTGCTTGGATAATATGGCAAAATCAACAACACTTACTCAACTTTCATCGTTTCCCACTCCTGACTTTTCCCCATTCGTATTTAGGCAATTTGCAGATTGTGATGTTAGGAAACACATTCTCTCTATCCATTCTGACGCTGTCGGATGTGATGACGTCAGTCGTAAAATGATCATTCCCTTGTTAGATTTTTTAACACCTATTATAACCTTTATCTTAAACTTTTCCATATCCTCATCTTCTTTCCCTAACCAATGGAAGGATGCCCAAATCATACTTATACCCAAAAAAGCAAATCCTTCAAGTTTTTCTGAATATCGTCCTATTTCGATTCTTCCTTTCCTTTCCAAAGTCTTAGAACGACTAGTGCAACAACAAATTAATTCCTTTTGTTTAAGAAATAACATCCTCAACCCTTTCCAATCTGGCTTTAGATCTGGTCATAGTACGACTACGGCGCTATTGAAAATCACGGACGACATTCGCCACGGTATGGAAAATCATCAAGTCACATTATTGGTGTTGCTGGATTTTAGCAATGCCTTTAATACTGTTGATCATGACATCCTGTTAGGGATTCTGCGTTCTCTTAACATATCTCCAACTGCAATTACCTGGTTTCATAGTTATTTGTATGGGCGCCGGCAACGTATTCGTGTCCACGATAGACTTTCTTCGTGGCTTGATACAGTAGCTGGCGTTCCACAAGGTGGCGTCTTATCTCCTCTTTTATTCGCAATCTTTATTAATACGATTACATCCCAAATATCTTCTCTCTACCACTTGTATGCAGATGATCTCCAAATATACTTACAAACAACCATTGAAGATCTTCCCAAAGCAGTGGAATGTATCAATAAGGATCTGACATGTATTCTCGACTGGAGTCTTTCTTATGGGTTAACAGTGAACCCTTTAAAATCCCAAGCCATAATCATTGGGAGTCCAAGAATGATTTGCAAAATAAAAAAATGTCAACTACAACACGTTGTATATTTCGGAGTAATTAGGGAGTTCCCATCCCTTATAATGACGTTGTTAAAATTTAGGTATCCTCTTGGATTCAAGTCTTTCTTGGGCACCCCAAATTAATGCAGTGAGCCGTAAAATGTTTGCAGCTTATGCTTCACTCCGGAGGCTTAATTACTTTTTACCCATTGCCACCAAAATTACGCTTGCACAATCGTTACTACTCCCTATCCTCGACTATGCTGACATTTGTTACCTTGATGTCACCGAGGAGCAACTTAACAAGCTTGAGCGCCTCCAAAATCTCTGTATTCGGTTCATATTTGGACTTCGCAAATATGACCATGTCTCAGAATACCGCACTAAGCTCAAGTGGCTCCCAATCCGTCTTCGTCGGAATACTCATATACTTTCTGCTCTCTACTGCGTCTTATTTAATATAGCTAGTCCTTCCTATCTTAAAGAACGTTTTAGATTTCTCAGCTCCTGTCATAATTTTTCCTTACGATCCAAAGAAAATCTTTCCCTCCAATGTCCTGTGCACTCCTCGACTTATTATTACAAATCATTCTCTGTTCTGGGAGTAAGACTTTGGAACTCCTTACCCCAGTCAATTAGAAGTGCTCAATCCTTAAATGTATTCCAGAAACAGATTAAAGAATACTATTTGTCTCTCTAACTCCTCTCACTTCCTCCGCTTAATTATGGTCATTGATCTGCCTGAAGAATGTTATCTTTTTAATGCATAAGTTTGTATCTTTATTTTATTTTTATTTGTCTTTATTATTTTTATTTTTTATTTTAGTGCACCCTACCCATTGTTCTTTTTCTTATTTTGTATTTATTTCTTCTTCTGGGTTGTCTGGAAGAGATTGCTATGTAGCAATAAGACCGCCCTTTGTATTTCCCTTAATAGTTGTTATTTTTTATTTTTGATGTTGTTATCTTTTCTTGGTGTACAATAAAGAGTATTGTATTGTATTGTATTGTAATGTGTTTTAGAATTATGTATAATGTATCTCAAAGTTACATAATTGGATTTTTATATTCATAACATTATATACGTTTTAATTTATATAAGCCGGATAATATACGTGCTGACTTTAGACTTAAGTGGCAATTAACCAGCCATATAGCTCAAAGAACCTACAACCGATGAGGAGGAAAGGTTCTCGAGTAGCAGTATTGTTCCGGTAAGTAACGTAACAAAGAGTAACGTGGCCACCGACTAGATGTAGTGACGACATTTTAAGAGACTTGTGATGGGCTGTAATGATAATGATGACTATGTTAATAATTGCAATTTGGTTAACAATCATAATTTTAGAAATCATGCTATATTTTGTACTAAAAACCAAAACTTTAAAACTATTGTACCCTGTGCTTAAGTAAAGAAATCATAAGTAAAAAGAGAAACTGGAAAAAATGTCTAGCCATATCAATCATATAAAATCCTAACATATAAAAATGCGACTATTACGATCTCACGTATCTCAATGAACATGAAAGTATGATACTTGATTCATAACTCACCAGTTAAACCACATTTGGATTACCTATTAGAAGTTTGGGGACGTACTATAAAAAATTCTAAATGAAATACAAATATTGCAAAATAAAATAATTAAATAAATGTTTAACGTAACATCAGCGAAATCTCGTAACAGTATATTTATGTTTACATTATGACTATAAGATAAGAATATATTTCAAACATTATAATAACCAAAATAACATTATTTAACGTAGCTTGTAACATCTGTATGTACTTCTGTACAGCGGGTCGAATGAAGTAAGTGCCGCAAACATGTATCCAAATCCAGTCTGTTAATCTCTTGTGCGAGGGTTTATTAATGAAATGCGCATAAAAAAAGAAACAATCTTTAAACATTCCACGGAAGAGCACAAGCCTTCACTTTTTCCTGAGAGTATAAGTGAGGTTATAAGGTTCAAACACGTTGCTAAATTGCTGGCGGACTTAATTGAATTTTTATTATCCTCAAAAATGTAAGTTTTCTCAATTCATAATATTTTGTCCCGTTAAATAACGCTTTAAAGGGATAAAAAATTATAAATTGCTGCATGCCTGGAGCATCTTTTTTAATGACATCCTAAATAAAATTATAGTTACTAAATTTTGCCCAAATAGTACAATAATAATTGTTGTTCGTAGAAGAGGCAGTGTAAACAACAAACAGTTATTAAGATATACTGAAGAACTTAATAACTTAAATGTACACAAAATTGTCTTGTCTACACTGCCTTATATATACAGGGATTGCTACAGGAAAATGAAATAATGTAATTAAGAAGTTTAGGATAAAAAATAGGTATTACCTATCCAAATATAATTTACGACTGGTAGCAAATGTACTTTTATCTTATTATTTACATTTCAACTTAGCCGAGCGTTTGGCTACCAAGACTGCTTCTTTTAAGTAGGTAGTGTTATCATTTGACATTTAATTTGAAATCAGTCCCAACTAATTTAAATCAGTGAATCCGACAATAGAGGCAATCTCTAGCAATAATAAGAGTTTAATTAATTTAGAATGCACCCCACAAGTAAGTAATAAGAATTATTGACACCTGGTGTATCGAAATTTTCAAGGTATGATGGGCAAAGAATTGGAATTTGAATTGTTTTTAAATAGTAAAAACATACATATCGTTTGTATTACTGATTTTTTTCATTGGCTAAAAGATTATAATTTAATGTTTAATTTCAGAAATCACCAGTTGGTCAGTTCCTTCAATAGAGAAAAAAGTTTACATGGTGGCTCCTTAATAATAGCTGATAAATCATTATTATATAAAGAACGTAAGGATATTGTGAGCCTCTCTGTTGAGCGAACTCTAGAAATAGCTTGTGTCGAGGTCGAGCACCTCATTGTTGTAAGTGTTTACAGACCCCTATGTGCTAATTACGAATATTTTAAAAGGATTTTGGAAGAAGTTTTTCTCAAATTTAGTAAACAGAACAAGTATGTTGTAATATTTAAAAATCAATATCCTTGAAACTTCTTCCATTAGTATTAAGTTTAGCTCATTATTTAAATCGTATAATATTGTTAATTTATTCTTAGAACCGACACGTATTGCTGGGCCTAGTGTAACATAGTGAAAGGCCTTCCATCCCTTTATTTAAAAATAGTGCTGATTATTTGTATAGTTCATTATTTAAAATTATAACTTGTGAATTTAATATAATATTTACTTCTAAAACTTTCTCTATAAACAGTCGCAAATCATTTAATGAATGGGCGACAGTAGGAATTTATAAATGTAGACGAAAGTTATACGAGCTTTATAATGAAAGATCATATAATCGTAGTATTATATTTAGAGATTATGTAAAAACATATTCTAAAATTTTTAAAAAGTGTGCTCCCCAGCTAAGGCTTAACATTTTAGTAACAAAATTAAAACTGCATCCGATAAAACTAAAATGACATGGAGTATAATTACTAGAGAAACTGGCAAGGTCAAGCAACGGAACTCGGATTTTCAATTGAATATTAACAATAATTTAACTCAATCTGATCAATAAGTTGTTATGGCTTTTGAGAAAAATTTTACTGATGTTCCTTTTTTTGACAATTAAATCATTAAATTCTTCTCCTACTGTCGCCGAATCATTGCTTAAACAAAACGTAAAGCCTTGTTCAAATACTTTTAAATTGCATAGAGTATTGCAAAAAAAGATATCGTTAAATATTTTAAAACTATTGACTTGGTGTATGTATACGCTATTACAACAAAGTCCCAGAAAATATACAAGGTCTATCTCTATTACCTAGTTTAAATATTTAATTAAACAAAAACTGTATAAAAAGAGTTATTATAATATAAATGAATACTTCCAAGATGTTTGTTTGTAATAATTTATATTGTAAAATTTATTTAAAAAATGTTCCGCTGGGTTTCTTGCTGGTTCTTCTCAGGACAGAGGATTTTTCGCACCAGTGGTAATGTAAAAAAAAATTACTCAATTAGAATAAATTGTAATCAATATTGAATAAAAATTATTTCATTCTATTCTATTCTATTCAAGAATATATTTTGTGAACGATATCATTAGCTATTTAATGAATTTAGTCACAGAAAATCTAGTCGCTTTCTCGTCCAGAAGTTAAGTACGATTATTAAGAAGAGAATCGCAAGTTTATCGGCTATGTTGCGCGAAAAAAGGTAGTTAATTTTCATGATCGTAATTCTTATAGGACTGATAAGAAACGAATAATTTAACTTTAATTGCAAGTTAAAAAGCTTTAAAACAATAATAAAATCTAAAAGAATAAATTAAAAAAAAACTGCCTTGTCAGTGTAGTGGTCGTAAGTGCGGCTGCCCAACAAGCCGGGCCATAAATCAGTAATTGGGTTTTTCTATCAAAAATTCTCAGTAGCAGTCCAGTAGGAGCGGTCGGAAGGTGGCGGTGTTTTCCCTCCGAATTGCCGTCTCATCGGACTATGAGAATGAGGCAATAGGGAGTGCGCCTGTGTTCGCACATACTCTAGCACAATAACCCTGTCCTGCGCAGATGGCTAGTTACCGTGGAGAAAGGCCGCAGTGACCGAAATTCGGGGTTTTTTGTATGCCATTGTCTGAATGACATAGGTTTTGGTTACGCTTAGACAGTATGATTTACTATCTAGGGCTTCATTACCACTTATCATCCGTTGAGATTGTAGTCAAGTACTGGCTTAAAATAGGTTAAAAAAATAACGTTCGTTATTTTTAAAATTATGTATATATTTTTTAGACTAGTAGTGTATGTGTTTTAGGTCTTTTGTTCCTATAAAATCTAAATTTTTATGTTTCCATTGAGTTTTATCTTGGGCAATTTTTTTAGTTTGATTTCATCCTAATATTAAAGGAAAATGCTTTTATTTGCGCTACAATATCGCTCTTATTTGGGCTTTGCTATGTTAAAAGAATCTTTAGGACTCTTTAATAGGCAATGACGTAAGCCGAACTCGTAAAAGACAGAGTAATATTACAGTTGAAAGCTATAGGCAAGTCGTTTGACAAAACATCACTACTCAAACCACAAGAGCCGCTTCCGACTCGTAAACGGATTACGAGGGTATGAGCCCTTGTAAGAATCAAAGTGTTGACTGCG